ATTGATATTAATAATAAAATAAAGTAATGAAAAGAAGAAAAAAAGAAAAAGGAAAAATCAAAATATAGACTCGAAGTAGTATCAAATTTGAATCATTTAATGAGGCATCCTAAGTCTTACGCTAACGTAACACTTACTTGATGTGCTCACTATTTCCTGTACTTCCACTGCTTTCTCAATATTTAATCATTGCAAATTCAATAATTCTCAGTATTAAATTTCTGTAAAAATATATTTCATCACTGCTGCTCTACAAAGCATTAATATTTAAGTTTTCATATTAATAATAAGGTTATATTTAATCACGGCAATCCTAAGTACTAAAATATTTGGGATCGCTGTGAATTCTATAACTTAATCATTACGAATTATTAACAATATTTTAAATATTCAAAATAAATAATTAGTCACTAGCTTAACAGTAATAAATTTCTGTAAGGGATGTCTGTCATAAGGAAATGAAAAAAAGACATAATAAAACAAGCAGAAAATAGCGAGTGAAAAATAAAGAATTATGAAGACCGACTTTGATTTTTCTTTGCGTATTCCATGTTGTTGCATTACAACTTGAGTTACATTCAATTTGGTACCTAATGAAACTGTATATGAATATATATTCTGTTTAACTGAATATATATTCGGTCGCATGCACGTGCGCACGTGCGCATACATACAAAATTACATGGGCATTTTCATACATGGAAGAAGGGTATCATTGTTGCACTTTGCAAAAATTATTAACGTAATAAAACACACTATTTACATAAAATAAGTAGTATCGCAGTTTTGGAAATTCGTTGGACAGCTATCGGAAAGGGTATCATAGTTCTATGGAGTGTATTCGCGAAATCTATTCGACTATAATGAGCGGAACGTGTCGTTATTCGGGTCGTCACAGAGGCTGGTAGGTGTTGAATGCTTAGCTTGATATTGATCGACCTTCTCCGCCGCCCTACTCCCTTCGCCGCTCGCGTATTCCCCTCCGAGCCGCTGTATCTCCGTGCAAAGCAACACGCCGGAGTAACGTAACAGCAGTCGGGGGATGGATGGATGGATGGGTATGTGGGTAGGAATCTGCTGCGAAACAACCACTCTCCTCTTTCCTCTCCCATTTTTGCCTCCTGTACAAATCCCCATCGACGAGCGTGGACGGGTGTGCAACAACAATTTGTCACTCAAAAATTACCAGCTGTTGAAAAACAAACGAGTTGGACGTAGGAGCAGAACGAGTCCACCTTTCCGTTGGAGAGGAAGTGGAAAACGTGGAAAAACTGCCATTGACATCTCGCAATATCGCATCTCTCGCGGGAATGAGTGTTACAAATAAAGGATCTTCGGAAACATCCGAATAACGGATGTGGTGAGCGACGCGCAAAAATTTCAAATTATATGTTAAAATTATTTAAAACGCGTTTTATTTGAAATAATTAAGAATGCTCGGCGGGCTCTTCCGCAGATACGAACCAGGATGATAGATGCAGGCATTTCAAGATGCGTATTTTTAATCGCGAGGATATGATATTGTTCGCATCGTGTCGGTTTGACTTTTGTGTATATTGTGATGTCAACTACATTTTCCGCGTTATTTATTTGAATTAAATACACATTAATGAACGCTAGAGTAGCATTTGCTCTGAAATAAAGTTCGATAAACATGAACTGTAAATGTAATTATGTAGATAAATTTATTGCAAACGATAATTTGTATCCCCCCTCCCTCTCTCTCTCTCTCTCTCTATCTATCTATCTATCTATCTATCTATCTATCTTTCTCTATCTTACTCATTCTCTTTCTGGATAAGTTCTTAAGTAAAAGCCTCAAGCAAAACAAGAATGTAGATCGGTTTCGAGTTGCAAGACAAAGGACTGAACGAATTTGACTTGAACAGTTGCTCGTTAAAAGAGCGCGCAAAAATATTTATTTTGCCTTCAGTTTGGTTGATTGCAGCCAGTCGTTATCTCATTCATCCAACAATCAGGAGAACAGTGTTAATGCCGGCGTTAGCGACGATGATGATGAGGTTAGTGTGCGCTGCCGGCGAATAATTAGGGAAACGTCGCCACAGAAATTAGTGCGACAGCGATATTTAATTAGCAGGCAACGGCCCCCTCAGGAAGATGGACTATGGCTGTCGAATATTGTACGGAAGGGGCTACCACTTAGGCGGCAAGGCCTGCAACCAGATGCAACTTCAAAGATAGCGCCTGGATGTCTCTTAGGAATTCTGGAGTGAGTGAGAATGGAACGAAGAGAAGACGACGTATTTGTTAATTAACGCTAATTAATTAAGCAGCCACCTTCTACTGCATACGAATGCATAGCTTGCTCCCGTGTAATGTGCCTACTGCAAGCTTTCGAGTCGACGAAAACGTCAAATTGCGTTTCGGTTTTATCGAGTTTTCGCCGTTTTCCGGTCTTCTTCTTCCATTTTCTTACCGTTGTATAAGAGAGCAAGAAGCTCACCGCGATTTTAAATGATTGAGAGCGGTGCTTATTGTGAAGCTTTGTCCGTAAGCGATATTTATATTTCGATGGTAATTTAATATACGATTTTGTAACGGCCAAACTCCGGTGTCGGTCATTTGTTGTGTTAATGTCTGCGAATATCGCTCGTCGTTAGATTATCTATTTTCTTATTTATTATAAAATTCTGACATGGCTATACAATGTTACGGGTAATATCTATATAAAAACATTGAAAACATAAGTGGCTCGCACAACATGAACATTATATAAATGGAAGCCGCATGTTGCAGATACATTTATCGTCATGTACATTGGGTGGAAAACATAACTAATTAACGTTATAAAATATATCGCGTATTTACTAACTTTGACACGTACCAAGCGAATTTGATCATTTTTCTAAATTTCAGAACACATAATAAATAATGAGTCAATAATTGAATTTATATAGCGTCATATCGAAAATTCAATTCTCTCCTTTCTCCGTTAACCATCATATCCGGACAGTTTTGAATTCGTTTGAAAATAATTTTTACTTGTCTGTTAAAATAGACGTCGCAAGGTTGGCCGATCGAAATGCATTCCGGTGATATTATTTATAAATTACATGTTGGTCTGTTTTCTTCATTTACAAAAATTTTACTTTACATGTGCTTATTTTTTGACCTCTCCAAGAGTCTACAATCACATCAAAAAGAAATTGTTTCCAACATACAGTTTCATAACTGCTTGTTAATATTACTCATATATTAGATGCATGAATTAATTCTCGCTGATTTTTGCTACAAAAACACATATTTATTGCAAAAGAAAGGTACATTATATCTTACTCAAAATATTGTCCTTCGGAAACTACAAACCTTACCCACTTTTTGGGTAACACGTGGATTCCGCAGTAGAAAAATTCAGATTCTTTCGAGGCGATCCAGCCATCGAGCCATTTTTTAATATCTTCGAAAGAACTGAAGTGCTGCTCAGAAAGGCTATGCTGCATCGACCGAAACAAATGATAATCTGAAGAAGCAATGTTTGGTGAATAGGGCAAGCGGAATAAGACATCCCATCCAATTGCTTCCAAGATTTTCTTCACTGGTGTTGCAACATGTGGTCTACCATTATCATAGAGAAGAATAATTTTCTCACGTCTTTTGGCGTATTGCAGGCGTTTTTCTTTGAGTGTTCGATTCAAATTGAGTAATTGTCGTCGATAGTGTCCAGCATTGATTGTTTGACTCGACTGCAGCAGCTCATAATACACTACACCGACTTGATCCCACTAAATGCACAGCGTGACTTTCTTTCCAAGAATATCCTGTTTTGGCGTTGATATTGATGGTTCGCCGGGACACATCCATGATTTCTTGCGCTTAGGATTGTCGTAATAAATCCATTTTTCATCGCCAGCAACAGGTAAAGCAACAATGCACCGTGTCTATTGATCAATGCTGGTTGTTGAGCGCGCAGTTTTTAATAATGTCAATTTCTTGGCAATAGTATTTAACAGCGTTTATAGCCTCACCTTGTTTGGTAAACGAATAATGCACGATGCCCCTACTTGACACCATACAGACACCATAATTTTCTTTGGATGAAAGTTCGGCATATGTTTCGGAAGCTCAATCGCACCATTGAGGAAAACGTCGACGGTTATCATAAAGCATCCACTTTTCATTGCACGTCACTATTCTGTGCAATATTCCATCATTATTCTGTCAGGAAGGCAAAAAAGTGCAGATCTTTAAACGTCTCATTTTATCCCTCTGTCAGTTCATGGGAAACATATTTGTCCAACTTTCTTATTTTTCTAAAGGCTTTTAAATGTTAGACGATAGTTAAATGATGAATATTGAATTTTCCCACAATCTCTCGAACTGTCAATCTCGGATCCACTTCAATCATGTCCTTTAAAGCGGTGTCATCAATGACGGGGGTTACATGTCTGCGAGTAAATTGTTGAGGTTTGTGTCGCTAGACCGAAACTTTTCGAATGAACGCCTGGTTGTCCTTTCATTGGCAGAACCTTCACCGAAAGCAGTATTAATGTTTCATGTTGCCTCGGCCACACTATGGCCGAGTGCCACAGCTATGGTATGAGTTTGAACTCGTACAATTAAATTAAGCGAATTTCTTTATTTTGCATGTTGATTTAAACGCGAATTTCAACAATTAATACCATAGTAATTAAGTAAAATTATGTATATACAAGTTCACGTGCGGGACATATACTTTACACATAATATATATACAGCGCTATATACATAAAAGAAAGATGAACTACAAAGTTTAAAATACGAAAAACGGCCATTTCATTTGCACTAACTTAATATTTTAACGGATGTAAATGCGACTTATCTTTACAAAACCACATTTCTGATTACGAAATCGGAAAGTATTACTCGGATCAATGGCTATTGATTAGGAGACCACGAGTCCCAATCTCACTTAGTTTATTCGTTTGTTCGACGGATCGAAGTTGCGTCGAGATGATACAACCAACAACAGATTGTATCAATTACGCAGAATGTACACGTACCTGTTCTGTTGTTCGTCGACGGTGACAGATAGGGAGGTTGCTGGTCGCCGAGGAGACAAGGAATATGCTTGCCTTGTTGCGTTCACCGGTCCTCGAACCGCTCGAGAGCGGCCAGACGACCTTCCTCCTTTGAACCCTTCGCTAGCCTCACAACGAGCTTTATGCCCGATTCGCCCTCCGTTTTACGCATGCCAGAGATTCTGCAACAAGAGATATCATCGTTATTCTGATTTACGTTGCTCGCACATAATACCTTAACAACTAGTCTATTAAATTTAAAAAAAAAAGATAAAAAAAAATGCAGTCGTTTTGCCATTGTTTTGCCTTTACAAAAAATATAACAAAAAGAATCCAGTTAAAACATTGTATTAACAATATTATTATAGAAACACACTTATTCAAAACAATTATATTCGTGAATATTCTACTGAAAAATACAAAACCAAGAACTTTAAAATAATTGTAATAAAAAAATTGTTTCTGAGAAAAAGTTATTATGTTAAACATTAATTCTGAGTTATATTAATTTAATCCTGTATTCTCTACAAAAGTAATATTATCAAGAGATTTATTCTATGTACGAATGATTAATATTTCAGTTTTCAATTTTATAAACACAAGTTGTTTTAAACATGTGATAATTTGTAAGTTAAAAATATTGAGAAGTGTTGTATAAAACTATCTGTCAGAACAAATTTTCTCTTATTCTACACAAAAATAATACCGAGAAGTTTACATGATAAACAATTTTTTATTATATTTCCTTCTTTAATGATTTTACACTTTTCTCAATTTCATGTTTTGTTATTTATTTTGTGTATATTACATGGATCAATAACGTAACACATTTTAATATTATATATTAAGACTGTGCATAAGTTCTTCAGGTTTTCTTGATAATGATTTTATTTATGTATATTAAAAAAACAACACATGCATGTTTAATCAAAGTATTTTTCCTCGCTTGCTACAGCTTTAGATTATTTTTTAAGCAACAAATTCCTCGGTTGAAGAATGACAGGTTTTTCGATGCAATAAATTCGTCGACCTGTTTTCGAACTTCAACTTGATTCTAAATCGCACACCGGAGAGATGGTTCTGCATTGACAGAAATAGATAAAAATCAGAAGGAGCAAGATCTGGATTATATACTGAGTGTGGTAGGACACTCTCTCAAGCTCCAATAAATTATCTTTAGTCGCGGAAATAATATGTGACCGAGCATTGTCATGGAGTAAGATGACTTCGATTTCCTTTTCCTGTCTATATTCTTTTTTTATGAATTTTTTTCGTTTAACACGTTGACTGCCATGGAACCGTCGATGTTTTCCTCAATGGTGCGATTGAGCTTCCGAAACATATGCCGAACTTTCATCCGAAGAAAATTATGGTGTCTGTATGGTGTCAAGTAGGGGCATCGTGCATTATTCGTTTACCAAACAAGGTGAGGCTATAAACGCTATTAAATACTATTGCCAAGAAATTGACATTATTAAAAACTTTTCACGATTCTGTCTAAGAAGCCAATTTGATTTAATCGAGTAATGAAGCGACGAGATAACTCGTAGTTGGCGTCCTGGGCAAGTAAACAACCTACGAGATATCTCGTAGTTGGCAGTCAACGTGTTAACTGGTGTAATTAGCGACTGCAGCACTTTGCTGTAATTGTTTCACTAAGTTTGAGCAGCTCATAATAGAGCACATCCTTTTTCCCCCATCAAATACAGAGGAGAATCTTATACTCGTAAATATTGCGCTTTAGTATTGAAGTGGAAGGTTACCCTGGATCTAACCACTCCTTGCTTTTAACGGCTTACTATAGACCTCGCAAATAATTCTTCTTGTTTCAATGGCATTTTTCGCGCGATGAAAATAATGCAGACAGTGTCGGATATGCACCTTTTCGATCTTCATTTACAATTAAATTTAAAATGTGTTTAAGTAAATAAACACAAACTGTCATATAGGCTCGCATGCAGGTTAACCAGCAATATTTATGTAAAATATAAACTAGTTGAAAAGATCATGCATCTAGAATTCTAATGCATCTAAACATCGCCGAGCGGGCTTCGATAGCCCACATAGATGATTGGCTAATTTAATATAAAATTTTCTAATTAGTGGTCCAGCGAAAAGACTCCAAACACTGGCCGATATGTGTGGATGTGTGCTATCGCACTGTGCGCTAACTTGATCCTCCCAACATCGCTCCAGGAACTTATGCACAGATCTAATAATATATGAAAAATAAAAATGATTACATAGATTAACATAACATTTTAATATTAAATATGATATGTACAGGATTTTCCATTAAGAAGTTTCATTTCAAATTATTAGAAAAACAAAGTTCTTTTTTTTAAAAATAGTGATATTTTTGTTCCAATCCAAAATACAAACTGTACGAGTAAGTGTGGAACACAATGTCTGATAAATGGCCGTCTCGACTTTTTTTACAAATAGTGATATTTTTAGAAAAATCTCATATCATTTTCATATAACTGTGGCTCGATTTCATCAATAATACTTTTGATACTGTCCTTGAGCTCTTGAATCGTTTGCGGAGCATTGGCGTAGACTTTATTTTTCACATAAATCCAAAGAAAATAGTCTAGCGATGTTAAGCACGATCTAGGTAGCTAATTAAAGTGTCCGCATCGAGAAATTGAGCATCCAGGAAACTTTTTACTCAATAATGCGATTGTTTCGTTATTTATGTGGCACATTGCGTTGTCCTGTTGAAAATAAACATCGTCCAGATCCAAATTATCCACTTTAGGCCAAAAAAGTCGATCAGTATCGTACGGTAACGCAGCCCATTCACTGAAACGGTGGCTTCGTTTTTCAAAAATACGGTCCAATGACGCCGCCAGCTTAAAAACCGCACCAAACTGTCATTCGTTATGGATGAAGAGATTTCTTGACAATCACTGTTAGGTTTTCGAAGCCCTAGATACGACAATTTTGTTGACGTTGCCTTGAAAATGGAAATTGAAATGGGTCCCCGTCGCTAAAAACGGTTTTCTTAAAAAAATAGGAATCGCTTGCCTACATTTCCAACATCCAATCAACGAACGTACGACGTTGTGCACGGTCTGCCGATTTGCTGATTTGCCGAGAATAGCGATCGCAGATCGCCGCGGTGTCGGCCCATTTCTATTCTCCACTTCTCTTATACCCTTCACGCTCTATCTTTTTCCCATCGCATCCCCCCATCGAGAAGAACGACAAAGTTCCTTTCCGGTGAAGATAGGTATGCCGACTACGAATCCGCGAATCAAACTTTTTAATGGAAAAGCCGGTTCGCCGGAATTATTTTTCGGTAAGAGAGACATTCTAGGCTTCCCCATCCACTTTGTTCACCCTTCGCCCGGCAGGAATGAAGGGAAAAAGGAGGTGGATGATTTACATCAGCGTAGATGGCTGTCGTATCCCTCCCTGTCGACATTGGGGATATTACCGGTCTTGCAGAATGCGACCATGAATCACTGTGAAATATCTTCAGACAGTTCGGGGACTCCAGTTTCAATGCCATTAGTGGCGGAGAATTCGGGAAAATTCCAGTGTGCAATGAAAGAGGAGACGAAATGTTTTTGGAGATGTGCTCTTCTGTCCCCGTCACGTCTCTCACTATTAACCGAGTTTGAATGTAAATAAGAAGCGGTTTTCCGTTTAAACGCTCAACAGTCAAAAATGTTCTCGGAGTCTTTTTCCATAAATGTCGCATTATTATCATTAATCGTGTATAATCCTCGAAATATCAATAATATTAAAGATAACATGTCAATAATATTAGAGATAACATATGAAAGGATTAAATGAAAGGATGTGTTACGTAACACAAAACCTATGCATTTATAGCATCGTGCACGACATGTACATATGCATATGTACGAATAAATCAATAGAGAGAAAACTCGAACGCGCGGTGTTCCTTCTCTTACGCGGTATCTCTCAGAGAAATGCCGTACATACGATATCCGTGGCAACAGCGTTGAACCGAAAGCCATAAAGACACAAGCAACAATAGCGGCTAGGATCCGCGACGGCGGCCGTTTTGCTTCAGTCGCTTATCGCCGATTCTTAATTGACCAATGAAAAGACAATTGAGACTAACCGACAGAATATAAAGAGTCGAAAGCCTGAGGACAATCTGTCACGACTCTTAATGACGAGCTGATCGAAGCTACTTTCGTATCTTGGATATTGTGATTATAAAAATAAACTGATATGGAAAACAAAAATACGACGTGAGCATTAAGTTGTTCTGGCTGACTACATTACAGGAACGTATACATAAAACATTTGCTATAAATAACGGTCTATTGAAATTTTTGTATTATCTTAACGAGTTAAATATGTTAAAAAGTAACATATTAACATAATATATTAACGTAATATAATACATAATACAACGTTATATAATGTATAATATAAATGATACACTTTTCTACAAAATTAAAGTATCATTTAAAATCAATGTTAGAAAACATCAAACTCAAAGTTATTCGAAGACATCTTTGCGAGAAATGGTCACAGAACAATGTGCAAAAAAATGTTATAGAGCTTAAAGTCTCAATTTCCGAATGCTTTAAAGCATATTATTCTGCAAAGATTTTGCTACAAACGACGCTAATTTAAAACAAAATTTACAAAATTGAAGATTGAAGTTCTTTGACGGCGTGCACATGAAGAACAAAATTTTTGCTCCAAATTTTTTTAATTTCATCATGAAATGTAACATTTATACTTTAAAATGCTTTTTTAATGACTACACTACGATTTTTTCCAATGAGTTACAACTATTTAAAGTGCATTCTCAGTTCTTGTCTCTAAAAACTTGTATTCTGTTGCCAGTATTAGCATTACTCAAGGTATACCATAAGTAGATTATGCGGTCGGATTTACATTTCGTGTGTGTATGTGTGTGTGTGTGTCACAGCAGAGATAAGAACTCCATGGTTCGTCACTCTTGTAATATTTAATGATTCCAAACCCTCTCTGCTGTGTTGTATATGCGTGTGCACATTTACATATATACGTGCGTCTTAAAAATGGGTATTACCACCTCTGCGACGAATTACTTTTTGACAGCTCTCCCACATGTTAATAAATCGTTGGATTAGGCCTTGCGAAATTTCACGCCAGATTTATTAGAGAGCAAATTAAATATGTATAGGCTTTCATGATATAAATCAAG